GAGCGTGGCAGCGGCGCCGAAGGATTGGCATGGAAAGGGAAGTGGTGTCCTCAGCAAGGACCAGGCGAGTTTTCCAGCTCTGCTGATTCTGGAGATGACTGGCTCGTCAAGGAGTGGAGGCTCCAGCCGAGGTGCTGCTGGCCAGGCACTGGGAGAGCCCCTGAGAGATGATGCTCCAGGCATTTCAGCTCCCGGGGAAACAGGCTGTGGCTTTCGGGCAGGGATTTCCTTCCACTCCTCTCCTCCAGCCCCCATTTGCTGTTCGGGAGCTCTCTGCAAACCTCCCCCTCGCTGCCCTTCACCAGGTGAGGTGGGGAGGTTCAGAGCCTGATGGTTTGGGGTTGTGCAAGCCCCCACAGTGGGGTCTCCAGGGTGAGGTGTTGGGGTGATACAGGATAAAGAAAAGCCACGTGCAGGGGACTGACAGGCAGCAGGGCAGCCCTGGAGAAGGTGCCCTGGCACTGGGGGTCACCAGCACCACCAGCCCCGCTCCTGCCTGGGGGTTTTGAGGTCGGCTGCCTTGGAAAGAGCAGAGATGAGGAGTGATGGTGCATCTGGTTCACAGAGGGAGAGACAGATAAGGCATGGCACAGAGACGTGGATGTGTGGGAATGAATATCTGCCAGGCCCTGGGCACATAATGCTGCCAGAACAAGGGGCACGGTTTTCCAAGGATTGTCCACTGGGGAGAGCTTGGCCCTGGGGACCGACAGTCGCTGGATCCTGCCCCAGCTCTGCCACTGCATCTCTGCAGGACAAGGGCAGGTCACATCTCCAGGTTGTCTCCTCCCTGAAATAAGGTGGAACTGTGGTGGACACATAAATGCCAAGGCAGAGTGTTCTGAGGGGGTGGCAGTGAAAACAGCTGCGTTACCCCTGAACCCGCTGCCGTCCTCACTCATCCCTGACCCGGCCACTGACCATGCCTTCGAGCAGCAGCTCCTGAGGTGGATCCATTGTGCCAGATCCACTGGGATCTGTTGGCTGCTGGGCAGCAGGTCCTGCCTGCAGGTCCCCTCGGAGGGCTGGGCAGAGCAGCCCTTGAGCCTGACGGCTCCTTCCCGCATCGGGGCAGGTCTGCAAGAAGCTGAGCTGGGAGGACAGGAGGGGAACCAAAGGCAGGTCAGTGCCCTGGGGACACCAGCTGTGGGAGGAGAAGCTGATCTGACTGAGGGACAATGTTTGGCCCTTTGGGTGGCTCATGAGAGCATCGGCGGTTTGGTTTGGTGGGAGAAGCTCCTTTTGAAGGGGATGTTCCCCCCATGGAATCACTGGTGGATGTGCCATGGGTTGGCCAGCACAGAAAGATCTGATGGTGTTTGAGGATCTCTGGAACCCTGTCCCAGAGCAGTCTGGGAGTGATTCAGATAGACTTTGGTGGGGCTGAGCAGCAAATGTGGGAAGAGCTGCATCCCGAGCTGCTGTGGGGGCAGCAGGAAGCTCTGGGAGAAGCCGCCACCTCCGGAGCGTTGGGTTGAGGGTACCTGTGACAGCAGGTGTTGGTGCCCCCCATACCCTGGGAGGGTGTGGGCTGCTGAGGGGCCAAAGAGAGACTGGGGACAGGGTGCTGATCCCGGGATGTGGCTTGGGAATGGGAATGTGTCAGAGAAAGGCTCTCACGGGTGGGCAGCGGCTCCAAGGGTGGGAGCCCTGCGAGGCATCTGTGGGCTGTGACTTCAGGTGTTGGGAGCTGGGAAGGGGTTTAGTTCCTGCAACTAGGTCTTCTGCTTTTGTTTAATGGCTTTCCTGACTCCAGGTGAAAATAGCTGAGGGGGTTTAGGCACAGGAGTTGGTTTGACTTTTTTGGCTTTCCTGGGATCGCTTCAGCCTTGACTTCACCTGCACATCCAGAGTGTCTGGACTGAGCATTTCCCCAAGAGATTCTTCTCCGTGTCCTGCACGTCTCGGGCAGAGCTGGGCAGCCCAGGACCTTATTTGGTGTGAGTGAGAGTTTATCAGAGAGGAAACAGGGTGGGTTTGTGCTCCTCCACAGGGCAGTGACCTGCAGGGACTCCCAAGCCCTCCTGGAGAGCCAGTGGTCCTGTCCTGCAGGGAGAGGGGGGAGTGGCAGCAGGATCTGCTTCTCACTGCCTCTCCAACACCTCAGCTGTGGTTTGCACATCCTGAATCCACCCAGGCAGGTTAAACAGCCTGTTCATCCACCAGCAAGGGTATGCAAAAGTCTGGATGCCTTCCAGGAGAGAGAGTGTGTCAGGAGGAGAGTCCTGCTCCCAGGCTGTCCCAAGCCAGGTTGCTCAGCTCCGTGATGAGCTGGCAGTGTCCAGGTGGGAATACCAGTCTCAGAAAATGGGAACAAAGCTCTGACCCCCATGAATGGGACCTCCACCTGCCTGGGATGGAGCTGTCACTGTCTTCCTGAGGTCAGGGAGAAGAGGCTTCACACTTGTCCTTGTCCCCTCATGGGGAGAGATGTGTGTGTACCGAGGGTGAGTGTGTTTGCAGCCAGATCTGCCCCGGGGTGAGCTCTGCTGTTCCAGAAGCCCCAGGTCCCTCTGCCCCATGCAGACAGGGTTGGTTTTAATTTTGTGACAGCATCTGGCTGACCACAGGAAGGTGACAGTTGGCAGAATTTGGGCAGTTGCAGTGCTGGAATCAGAGGATGTCCCAGCCAGGGACATGAGCTATGGGGTGAGTCTTGGGGCTGGAAACCAAAGGTGGTGCCCAGGAAGCATTTAGGGACCTGGGCCCGTGGTGCTTGGTGTGTATGTCTGTCCTATGGCTGTTGCTCAGCCCCGTGTGGGGATGCCCTGGATGTGCCAAGCCCCAGGCAAGCACAGATGGTGAGCCCTGGGGTGTGATCACACTTCCATCTGCCCTCGCAGCTCCTGCCTCGGGGCTTGGAGCAGGCTGGGAGGGAAGGAGCCAAGCACTCCCTGCCTTGTCACATTTGGGCATTTTAATTAGAGAGGTGCAGGCCTGGGGCAGGGGTTGGCTGGGGCAGTGCTGGAGGGAGCCTGGTGTCCTCAGGTGCTGCCCTGAGGCTCCCAATGTCCCGTCCTGGCTGGCACAACACGTGTGAGCCCCAGTCATGGCCCAGGGGCACCGACCTCCTGCCCCTCGGGTGCCACCATACCAGGAGGTACCCGGGCACACAGCCAGCCCCATCCCACACTTCCATGCACTGGCTGTTCTTCCTGCTGATTCAGAGCATCCTTTCCTCTCCCAACCACACTGTGAGCAGGGATCCCGACACCCCAAATCGCAGGGTCTCTGGCAGGACGTGCTCCAGGGCAATCTGGTCTCTGTTGGGGGAAGCCCTGAGCTGGGGGCTCTGCAGACGCTGTCAGGCTGCTCCTGCAAGGGGGAACTTGTCCCGTGGATCCAGGCTCTAATTTACTCCGTGTGGTTGTGGGGAAGCTGGAGGGAGGCTCGGTGTGAATGAGCCGCTTCCTCCTCTAGCCTGAAATTTGGGTCACACAGCCCAACACAGCAGAGCTGTGAGAGATCTAGTTCACCTTCGGTTCAAGCTTTGATTTCCAAGGTGCAACTGTTGGTGGTTCAGAGGATGGATCCATGAACAGATCGGCACGTGGAGGGAGGTGAGAGGGGTTTTTCCCCTCCCCAATCAGCTCCCACATTGCTAATGTTCCTCTCTGGCCCGCTGCTAATTTTGACGCTGCCCTAAATAGAAGCTGAGAGCATCTCATCTGCTTCGCTTGGCATACAGGAAAATTGTTTTCCTTCATTTACCGAATCCAACTTGTGGCTTTAACCCTGTCAGCACAAGTCTCTTCCCGTTGCAGAGCTCCCATGAAGGGCTTTGCCTGCCCCTGCCCCAGGGAAGAGCTCTGCTGGGAATGGCACTGCGTGTGGTGGGATTGGGAAGGCTCCCAGGCTGCCCAGAGTGGCCACAAGCAGAGCTGGGAGAGGGACTTTGCTTCATCAGCAGCCAAGGGGATCCCTTCTCCGCTGGAAAGTCTGGCACTCGGGGCTGGCTCTCCCTGTGCCCTCGCCATCTCTCTGGCACGATGTGCTGCCCCCCAGGAGAGATCCAGTGCTCCTGCCCAGACTCTGTGCTGGAAAATAGCACAGACAGACCCAGTTGTAGGAGGTTTTGGTTGGTTTCTGTTGTATTTTTTCCAGCAACTGGTGGGACCAGCTCGGCACTCAGGGACCGTCCCCGAGCCTGGCAGATGCCCCTCTTATCGCTGGTTAATTTTATCTCCCATTCCAAGGGACTCCTTGGAAAGGTCTGTTGTTCCTGCTGCTCTGGGCTTGCTCTCAGGGCACGCAGCCCCTCTCCGTGCTGGAACTGGCTGTTGGACTGGTGGCCTCCAACACAAGCCCTCCTGCAGCACGACTTAAATATATCCCTGCCCAGTGCAAGGTGCTCATTTGGGGCTCTTGTGTAAGCGCTGCTGTCCTGAAAAACTGTAATTTAGTGGCATTTTCAGCTGGGTGACTGTTACAAGTGCTGTGCTGAGGACATGGGGGCACCGAAGGGAAGCGTTGGGGTGTGAGGGGCAGTGTGGAAGGGTTGGATTTAGCTGGTGGAAGAGCAAACCCTGAGCTCGGGCTGAGCCCCAGCTGGGCACTCAGCAGCACTTCAGCCAAGGTGGCTGCACAGTTCCCCTTCATCCCTCTCTGAGCCCAGCCCTTTCCAGCCCAGGAGCTCCCCACAGAGCAGTGCCTGGGGAATGCTGTCCCCTTTTGTCCCCTCTTTCCCCTTCAGCCCCCAGTTTGCTCTGGGTGCTCGAGGCACTGCAGTGACAGCGACTGCTCAGTGTGAGGCTCGTCCGCGTGCTGGTGGGAGCCGGGCTCTGCTTTGGGCTGTGGAAGTGCCTGGAGCCTCTGGGATCAGAGGGACCAAGGAGCAGTGACCCCAAAAGGCTCCCAGCTGGGGGGCTTGGCAAGCCAAGGGCACAGCCAGGACCCAGGCTCTGAACAGACCAGGAGAGGCCACGACCATTCCTGATCCGCCCCAGACGGAGTGATTGGAGCCGATCGGGGTGTTCTGACTCTGTCCACTCTCTTTCCAGAAAATCAACCGGACCCCTTCGGATGAGGAATGCTTCTTTGACCTGTTGAGCAAGTTCCAGAGCAACCGGATGGATGATCAGCGCTGCCCGCTGGAGGAGTGCCCGTCGGAGGCTGCGGAGGGAGCTGCCACCCCGGTGCCTGCCCTGGGAGAGCGGATATGTGAGCACCAGAGCGTTTCTGAGGCACTGTTTCTGTGGGAGTGCCGCTGCTCCCGCAGCCTGGCCAGCTGTTGTGGTTTACTGTGGATCCCGTGATGTTTTCCCTAAGCCTCAGCTCTCTGAACTTAGCAGTTCCTTGGCAATCTCCCTCATTATTTAAGGAAGGAAGAGACATTCTTATGTTAATGGTTGCTGAGGGAAAGGCTTGGAGAATGTGAGCTAAGGCTTGGGGAGTAAACTAGGAAGAGAAATGGAAAATGCACTTGGATTCCTCCAGTGTGGATCTTTAGGTCTTGGCTTTGGAATGGTGAGGTTGGCATGGGGACTTCTGCCACTTCATGAGGAAGATGATGATGGTCACAGCTGAGGGAGCCTTGTAAGAACCTGGGGCGTGCAGGGGCTGGGTCAGGCTTTCTCAGGCAAGTTAAAATACTGCCAATTTTTGTAATAGTGTTGCCATGGAGGAAAAACTTCTGGATTTTGTACTGTTCTTGGATGCTGTGGTGATAGGTGCTGTGTAAGGACAGAGGAGCCAGAGGGATGGATAAACAGTGGGAAGCTCCAGCAGGCAGACAGCGAGCTCACCCCAGGAAGAGCAGGGATAAATTGAGGAAGGCGCCTGACAAACAGATGGGACAGGAAAGGCAGGGCTGTGTTTGCACTTGGGTTTTTTGGTCTTGACGGCCTTTGTTTAACCCAAGCTGGAGAGCAGCTCTAAAATGCACAGATCGCACTCCACACTTAATCACTGGCACAAAGGCCTCCAGAAAGTCCATTTGAGCTGAGGGATTTGTTTATCAGTTTCCAAAAGACTCCAAAGTGCAAACGGGAGAGGAGGAGACCCCTGACAGCCCTCAGAGCTGGGCAGAAGGAGCAGGGGCAGGGGCGGGGGCTGAAGTGGCAGCAAGAGCAGAGCTGTGCAGAGAAGGTCAAGAAGGCAGGTTGGCTGTGAGGTGAGAGGGCTTTTATCATCTAAAAATAGGGTGGAAATAAGCATCACTTTGTCAAAAGATGCATTTCTGACACAGAAATGCATTTGGCTGTAACAGCTGTGTAATTTAGGAGACTGGGTTTAAAATACGGAGCTTTATAAAGAATGCACAAGCAGGCACATGTTCTGTTTGGCTCATTTGGGCTCTGAGCCTTTTGGATGTGTTATTTTGAAGGATTCTTTGTGAGCTGAAGGGGAAGAAACTCATCTTTGTGTCAGGGCTGAGATTTTCCTGTGTTTTTGCAGCTCCATGAGCTGGGGTCCAAGGCGAGCTCGCTGTGTCGAGAGGCTCAGAGCAGCCTCTGCCCCAGTGCTTTGGGCTCAGTGGGACAGGAGCACCAGTCAGGCTGGATTTCTTACAGTTTTCCTTTGCTTGCCCCTGTCTGAGTGCAGTGTCTGTTGTTTGGGAGCCTTTCCCTGCCCAGAAGCTGCCAGGAGCCAACAGGCTCTTTCCAGTGACGCATTTCCAAAGGGTCTATAGAGGGTGGATTATGTGTACTGGTTCTGGACTGGGACCCCTGGCACCAGGCTGTGCCAACCCTATCCCAGGCTAGGGACTCACCTTGGCAGCCTCTCCTCGAGCTGGCCCAAGCAGGCTGGGCTTCTGGGGGGCCTGGGAAGGTGCTGGCAAGTGGAAGGCTCAGCCAGGCCTGGGCTTTGCTGAGTAGCTGTCTGGAATTATTCCTGACCCTCAGGACTGTGCAGGTGCCTGTCACAGCGCTCAGCAACTCTGTGCTCACCTGCAATTGCCAGTGTCTGCCTGGTGCCTCTTGGCTCCAGCTGGGAAACAGAGTGGAAACAGCAGTGGAAGCTGTCTGTGGTGCAGGAAAAAGCAATGATCACACCCAGGCTGTGGCTAAGGTGGGGGCACTGAGTCTCCTGGGCTGAGGTGGCACCTTTGGTGGCCTCCAGGAGCTGACCAAGCACAGTGAGTGGCAGAGAGCCCCTCAGGGGGTCCAGCAGTGGGAGGTGGGTGTGAGGTTCTGCTTTTCACCTTGTCACGGCACCTCCTTCCCCCTTGTGCTGCCTCTGGGTCTTTGCCTGTGTGGGAGGTGGGTTGGACAGTGGTTTGGTGAGGAGGATTTGGGCTCTGCAGGCAGAGGGGTGACCCTGCCCTGTCCCCACAGCCCAGTCTGCCCTGATGGCATCTCCGCAGACAGAGGAGTTCTTCGACCTCATCGCCAGCTCCCAGAGCAGGCGCCTGGATGACCAACGTGCCAACGTGGGCAACCTGCCGGGGCTGCGGATAACCCACAACAACCTGGGGCACCTGCGTGTGGAGGGGGACGCCCAGGAGCCCGGGGACGAGTTCTTCAACATGCTCATGAAGTGTCAGGTACCCGTGCTGGGGGGGAGCGGGAGCTCGGACCCCTCTGCTCCAGCCCTTCCCTGTCATCCTGCCCCACCCTAACGCCCCTCTCCCCCCGTGCAGTCCTCCAGGATCGATGACCAGCGCTGTGCCCCCCCTGACTCCATCCCCCGGGGTCCCACCATGCCGGACGAAGACTTTTTCAGCCTCATCCAGCGTGTCCAGGCCAAGCGCATGGATGAGCAGCGGGTGGATTTGGCCTCGGCCCAGGAGGAGGCTGAGGAGGAGCAGCACAGGCCTGGTTCCAGCTAAGAACTGGGCTTTGGTCTGGGGGGGTTGTTTTGGCTTTATTTGGTTTTTTTTTGTTTTTAAGAAAAAAAAAAGTGAGTGGTTTCAAACCCGAGGGCTCCTGTGCTACCACAGACTTGTCCCAGGAGCCACCCCAGGGGTGTGGGAGCTGCACCTCCGTCCTGTTGCTACAGGAAGGCCCAATGGATATGGGGCACAATTTTTAAACAAGGGGTTTTTTTAGGACACACGGCCCCTGTAACACTGGGCACGAGGGAAGGCTTTGGCAGCCCCTTTGCTGATCACCTAAAAACCCAGGAACTTGTAGGAGCCCAGAGGGGGTAGTTAACTCCAGCCTTGATGTCTTTTATTTCCACAACACTTTTAATTAAATGGGGGAAGGGAAGAGCACCTTTTCCATTTTGAAGGCCTCCTGTACTGCCTGCATCACGAGGTGACACAAATGACTCTGGATCCTTCCCTGGAACATCTTGCTCAGCTTTGTTCCTTCTACAGGAGAAAATAAGCCCAAGTCTGAGGCCATACCAGTTCTTTAACTCTTACCCCACCCCAGCTGCATCGTCGTCCCACACACCTGAGTGTATTTTAGGTTTGCTGAGGACTCTGCAGAGCCCTGGACTCCTCCCTGCTTCCCCAGCTCTGGGCAGAGCTGTCCTGGGACCTCTTGGGCAGGAGCAAAGCCTGGCTCACCCTGAGCTTTAGTGGGACTTGTTACCTCTGGAGCTCAGCCAGCTGTGCAGGCCCAGGGCAGGGGCTGTGCCTAGGAAGGGGAAGGTCTCTTCTCATGTGTTCTGCCCATGGCAAATGTGGGCAGCACTGGTGCCACTGAGCCAAGGTCTCAGGCAGGTGAGGGTGCCTGAGGCAGAACCTGCGTGTGACAGGGACCTGCTTCGACAGCCAGCAAAGCTTTCTGCCCACAGCTTGTCCTTCCTCCTTGTCCTCCTTGTCCAACAGCAGCTCGGGATAATGGCCCTTCAGCCTCCCTGTTTCTCCCCAAACCAGTGCTGAGCTGCTCCTGGCCCTGGCAGAGCTGCTCCGGGCAAGGCACCGCGGCTGTGCCCCACCCGGCTCCAATACCTGGAGCCTCAGAGGAGCCCCAGCCACATTTACTGTCATTCCTTCCCCTTTTGGACCAGTTGGAAAAGCTGGAGGAGGGGAGCAGGGACCTGACTTCAGGAGGTGCAGTATTTCCCTTTGCTTGACCAGAGACTATCTTGGACTTCAGAAACTGCAGCACCGAGTTGTGCCGAAGCAGCGACGTTCCTGTAGAGAATAAAATCAACACTTCCTGTTTGAAATGCGTTTGTTGGAAGCATTCCCAACCAGCAGCGAGATGTTTTTAGACCAGTGATGCTGCTCATGGGGCATTTTCCCTGCCTGCACTGACCATGTGGAGTGGTAGCTGCATTTTACCTGCTACCTGGGAGCACTCACCTGCTGCACGGACCACTTGGCCAAGGCTGGGCCTCCTTCCTGGGGCTGGGAAGAGCTCTGGAGAAGGGAGAGGAGGACCTGCCCAGCCACCTTTGTACCAGCCAAGCTGGCATTTGTAAAACAGGAAAACATTGATGATGATGATGATGATGATGACCTGACCAGCTGCAGGCTCGGGCCTGTGCAGCTCTCAGCCAGGTGGTGAACTGGAATCTGACCATTAAGCTTTCAGAGGTATTATTGAGGTATTATTTGCCATATACTTGAATGTATGAGCTTATTTATTTTTTACATGTGCATTTGCTAATGTCATTTTAATGGGAAATTTCCAACCCACAGGTACTTGTTTTTTTTCTAAAAAATAATCTGCCAAATGGATTAATATATTAGAAATGAATACAGCTCAAGGGGAAGGGATGTGGGGGGGGTTGTGCTTAATAAATATTTGTGTCTAAGCTTCAGTGCAAATACTCATTTCCATTATTTCTTGGCTGACAGCAGGGCTTAATCCTGGCCCTTTGGAATGGGGGTGGGTGGGGAGGGGGGTCTCTGCTGACAGACACCCCACATGTTAACAAAAGGGTGTGTGCACCCACCTACACACCCTTTACACTGAGAGCACACACATCTCTTGGAAGCAGCCCCTGTTCCAGCTCTGCCTGCCTTCCAGCATGGATGTGGCTGTGGAGGGAGACACAAAGCCCTGAGAATTCCCTGCCCAGAAGTTTCCAGGACGACAGGGCAGGCAGAGCAGCCCTGCATGGTGAGAAAAGACCCCTGGAAAAGGCCGAGGAAAGGCCAGGCCGTTCCTTTCAGGCCCTGCCCGTCTCGGTGCCTCCCCGGCGCCTGGCCCAGAGCTGTGCTGTCCCCCAGCAGCTGCCAGGGCACCAGGGCAGCGAGGGCACTGCACAGCCCTGGCACCAGCCCTCAGAGAGGACACTCACACAGCAGCAGGCATGAGCAGGCTCTTGGACTGTGCTAGAAAGCACTTTGGGAGCAGCAGAGTTTGAATGTGAGGATAAAGCCAAGTCCCAGCTGGTCTTCCCACGCCTGGCTAAGTCGTGCTGGCCACTGCCAGTCCTGAGCAAAGATCCAGGAAGAGCCATCCTCAGACCTGGGTGCCTCCATGCAGTAGTTCTGTGCAGGCTCAGATTCCCAGGAGCAGATGCCATCCCTGTGGATGAGTGATGGGGTCTCACCTCCTGGCTCAGATTCCCAGGAGCAGATGCCATCCCTGTGGATGAGTGATGGGGTCTCACCTCCTGTCTCTCCATCCTCAGCACTGGGGAAGGCAGCACACGCTGGCTTGTCTGGAGGCACTGGCTACAACTGTCTCTCCAGGGCAGCCCAGAGCCCGCAGTGGTGGCTGCTCTGCTGAACCTTTCCCTCTCCCACGCCCCCAGAGCTCGATCCCAAGCCAGGAAGAGCTCTCCGATGCTGACACCCGCCGGAGAGCCGCGGGATTGCCGGGGCCGTGCAGTGCTGCTGCTGCAGCTGTGGAGCGAGTTACTCAGACCAGAGGCTGTCCCTGGTGCTGGGCAGATCCTCTTCATGAAGACTCTCAAAATCCAGCAGAACGTGAGATCCTGCCCTCTCCTACCCAGCCGAGGCACTCGCAGGGCAGGGCTGATGTCAGGCCTGGGGAGATTTTATTTTTTTTTTACTGCCAAGTCACTTCAGGGCTGAGGCCCCACACTTCCCTCAGCCCTCCCCAGAGCCTCACTGTGCTGCTGCTCCAGCCCTCACTGATATTCCTCAGCTGGAAAGGCTCTCAGTCACTCACTCCCAGCCCCATAGGACCCCATCTCAGCCCCCTTTACCACCCAGTGCCCCCCATTTTACAGACACTGCCCAGCACAGTCCTGCTCTGCTGGGTAAACACTGGCAGCAGTAGAGTCAGAAAATGAGGCAGTGTTTGCCCTTTTGCAGAAAAGCCCTTGTGGGACAGGATTCAGGAACAGGATCCATCCCTTAACCACAGTGGAATGTGTCAAATAATGTGCAAACAGTTTTGTTTGCTGCCCTGGGACTGCTGCTTTGCCCCCTGGAAATCACCACCTCCCCTCTGTGTCCCAAAGACTTACCCTGGTCAGCTGTGCCTACAGTCTCTCTCCTCTGCTCCTTCAGTCTGTCTCCTGTTCCACTGGGCCTTCACAGCACTTTTTCCCCATCCTGACACACCTACAAGTTCAGGAGAAAAGCTGCTTCTCCCCACTCCTCATTTCTGGCTAAACCAAGCTCTGCTGGGCTCCCCTCAGACAGACCTGTGTCCCCCTTCCAGAGCAAACCCACTGCCCCAGGACACAACATTTTTCAGAAAAACCCCCTTCAAAAGGGAGCACAGAATTCCTTTTTTTACTTGGAATCTCTTAGCATCAAATATTTTTTGTGTTACATGCAAATTCCCTCATGTGATGTTGGCCTGAACCTTCAGAGCAGCAGCAAGAACTGCTGCCCTCCCTGCTCAGAGCTGGGGGCTGCAGAGGCACAAGGTGCCAGAGGACAGTGGGACAGGGAAAGACTAAAATACAGGAATAGCCAACACAGGTTTTGCTACATTTTTTACTATAACACAGCAAAAACTAGCACCACCTTCCTGTAGCTGGAGCACAGTAACAGGTAAGAAAGGTAAGGAAAACAGCCAAAAAAAGCCAGGTTGTAAATGAGTTGTTTCCAAGGCAACACAGATCCTGCAACAGCTGCTGTGTTCCACCCCATCAAAGGCATCAGCACCATGGAAGCAGAATGCTGATTTTCAGATTAAAGGTAATAAAATAAGCACTTTTCTTGCAGTGCTAATAGGTGCCAACAGCTCAGCACAGGGTGAGCACACAGCAGTGCTTGGAGATGCAAGACTCCTGTTTCTCAATACTGGATCTCTCCAGCAGCTGTTGTTTCAGGGAGAGCTGTGTTTCACCAGGGTCTGAGCACACAACGAGCTGGCTGGTGAAGGTCCTGCCCCTGTTTCATCACTCTGAGCTGACACACCAACAGCAATATGACAATTTTCCTGTTGCTCTGACCCAATACTTACAATGCAACACGTATAAAATTGCTATGAACACTTCTGATGAAGTAAAGTCATTAATGCACACAATGCCCTCACTGAATCCTTGGCTGATTAAGGACCATGAGCAGCTGGAAAAGACTGGCTGAGAGAAAGGGGTTTGCTCAGCCCCAGACACAAAGGCCAAGAGGGGTTTTACTGCCTTCTGTGCCCCTCTAACGAGGGGGGATCCAAAGAGGTTGAGGGATCTCCACCCTCAGAGACCCTGAACATCCTCCTTTAACAAGGGGGTTGGACTAGAAACCTCCACAGAGCTCTTTCACCCTAAATTAGTCTTTGATTGCAAGTTCAAAACCATAACAAAGCAGCTACTTCACTGTACAGAGGAAACAAGCCCTAACAAAGTCCACCACTACCTGAGTGCTGCAAACACCTACATTTCTCATTTATTATTTTTCTTCTTACTAATCTTAATATGCATCAGTAGCACTAAAAAGCCCCTCAATATTTTTCCAGTGAATTCTAAAGCAGCTTTCTAGGTGCTCTACTTCTCTCCAGCATGCTCCACAGCTATTAGTTTTGCCTTCACATCCATCCTCCCCAACAAGGAGCCTGAGTGGGGTCCCCTACTGTAACCCCAAAATACAGAACTTTCAGCCCTGACACCAGGGGCACAGCAACAAAACTCTGCAAGATGGCAAAGGACAGATAAAAGCAGCAAGAGCTGCTGACCCTCCTGTGGGACCATTTTGGCTTTGAAATTTGGGACTCACCTCAGGTGGTATCAATTGCCCCTCTGCTCAGCTGCCATGGGATGCACCTCCACCAGCTCCACAATGCCTGGGAAGGGCAGGGGACATCCCTGAAACCTCCAGCTCCAGCTGCACCTTGTTATGCCAAAATCACACAGACAAAGAATTTCTGGCTGCCTTCTGAGCAGGGAACAAAGCTGGGCTCTGGGTACTGCTGGAGCACTGAAAACAGCCTCAAAGTCAGCAAAACAAGTACCAGGAAAAACACCTACACAATCTCTAAAGCCATCAGCTCAATCAAAGGCAAAGTTACACAAGACAAAGACACACGACAGAGAAAAACCCACACACAAATTTATTTTAAATACAGACTGTGGAAATCAGGGAATGAAGGTGAAGAGTCTCTTAGCACCAGCAGAGCAACCCAAATCCCACGTGTCAGGTCTGTCCCACAGGTCACAGCCCCATGTGTCAGGTCTGTCCCTTGCTGCCAGGCTCTGGGGGGGCTTCCTTGCTGTCCCCCTCTGCCAGCTGACCTTGGGACTCGGGCTCTGCCGAGCTTTCCAGCAGCAATTCCAGAGCTTCCTCACCAGCCACACGTCTCACCTTCTCCCCTTTGGCTGCCAGGATCTCCTCGATGTTCCTGGACAGCGATTTGAGAACCAACAGTGACACCACAGCAAAGGCCCAGCACAGCCAAGCACAAGTTCCCTGCTCCACTCTGCCCTCAGGACTGACACCATGCAGTGAATCACAAGAGCATCACCATGGGATTCCTCCATAAAGAGTTTGGGAAGCAGAGAAAACCGCCCAAACCTTCTGGGACTATTTTTATCCACTGTGATCAATAATTTAGCAATTACAGCTAAACAGAAGGTATCTCGGGAAGTTAGAAATCACTGGAATTCCACAGCAGATGAGTCTACAAACTTGAGACACTTATCCAAGGAAACCCAGCAGTGATGTGGTAAAGCTTGAGGGGAACAGAACCCCACAGGCAGCAATTCACCTGCTGTCACCAACAAGGATCCCTGTGCACCCCACAGCTTCTGCTGCAGCTTCACACCATTTATTTGGATCCTAGACAGTGCCAGTCAAATTACACGTGATTTAAAACCGAGTCTGTGTGCTTTAAGGAACTGGATGCAACAGAATTACACCCTGCAAAAACTCTTTTTCTGTGTCTTTTTGCCTGAGCCACATTTTAAAAGCATCACAGAAATAACGTTCGAGCTCGAGGAGGGTTCGGCTGCACCCCTGGGCAGGGGCTGAGCAGGATCCTTCGGCACACCCACCTCTTTCCCTGCAGGTCGGAGAACCAGCCCAGGTTGTCGGCGATGACGTGGTGGTTCCCGCAGCCGGGGCAGGTCACGATCACCACCCCGCGGTGGTAGGCGGCCTTCGAGATGGATTTGGACGAGCGCGTCTGGCACACCTGGGAAACGAAGCGGATTTTGTGAGCGCGGGACCTGCAGCTCCTGGGCCTTTAGGACAAACCTGCTCTATGCGATTAAAACTTTCTCTTCCTCTCTGTCACCTCGAACTACCCCGAGCGCTCGATGCCGTGAGCTCAGCCCAGCACAAGCGGGGTTTCACTGCTCTCTGTGCCTCCTTGAGGAGGGGGATCCTCAGCGATACTCACCAGACCCCGAACATCCTCCTCGCACAACGGGGTGGGACTGGAAACCTCCAAAGGGCTCTGTCGCAGCCGAGTTAGTCTGTGGACTAACAATTCATAGACCACAAGCAATGCAGACTGCACATGGGACCTCCCCCCGCTCCGTCCCTCACAGCCCCCCTCGCCCACCTTGAGGTGATACACCATGCGATAGTTGCGGTCGACGGTGGGCGGCGCCCGGGCGTGCAGGCGGGCGGACGGGACCCGGCGCGGCGCGGTGCAGGCGGCGGGCCGGACCCAGGGCGGCCCGCGGTGCGGAAGCGAGCGGGGCGGCGGGCGCGCGGCCCCCGGGCCGGAGCGGGGGCGGCGGCGGCCGCCATGGGCGCGCCTCCCGGAGGCAGCACCCTCAGCGCGGCCCCGCCACGCGCCGCATTTCGCACCGCGCGTTGCGCGCCGGGGGGCCTGAGCGGCCGGCGGCCATGTTGGATTCGGGCAGCGCCAGGGACCCGCCTTCAATTTTGAACTTTTAATTACCTTTCATTAACCGGCAGCCTCATCCGGGCACATGTCGCACACGCAACTATTTAATCGTGTTTATTAACCTATAAGAGTATGGATGAGGGCGTGTTCAGCATGCACAATACGTGTCCGGAACACAGGATATCAACGAGGTTGGAAAAACCTGTGAAGACTCACGAGTCCAACCTTTGGTCACGCATTAGTCCGCTCTTTTCGACATGTTAACTTTTCGTTTGAATGTTGGGTTGGATGGTCTTAAAATCTAAATAGTCCATAGAGAGTGAAAGTCAGAGGCACAGCCACCCCAGCACAGGCTGGGTTTTCCTCCCAGGTTGGTTCCTGCACTCAGGAGACCTCAATGCCAGTGTTGTCCCTCCTTCAGGACCTGATGGTGCCCCCATTGTCCCTCATCCCAGAACCCTCAGTTGTCCCTCTCTCAGGAGCTGATGGTGTCCCTGTTTTCATCTCTCAGGAGACTTCGGTGTCCCTGTTGTCCCTCATTCCAGAGCCCTCAGTGTCCCCGTTGTCCCTCCCTCAGGAGCCCTCGGTGTCGGTGTTGTCACTGCCCGTGGTGTTCTCCCAGTCGGCCTCGTGGTGCCGGTCCTTTGGCACCCTCCTCATGGCTCTTTTTCTGAAAAACAAGACTGGGCGTATCATTTTTAGAAGGTGTTTTCTGCAGACAAGCAGCATTTCAACGCTTTGGGGAGGTTTAGTATGTATTAGTCCATTACGTGTTTAATTTTATGCCCTCCATGAATCAAGTTTGGGGGCAGGGGATGGGCAGGAAAGAGGAAACACAAGATATTAAGTTAGGCCACACAGGTATGTCTAGGTTAGTCCTGCTTACTGCAGCCCAGACCTTCGGTAGCGCTCAAAGCAGTCCTTCATCCTCTTCCTCTCCTTTTCTGCCAGTTCCTCATTGGCCAAGCCACACTCCTTGAATTAAAAAATAAATTAAAAAAAATTAAGTGGATTCCTCCAAACATCAGATCAGTGTTAGCACCACGTAGCTGCCTGCAGAATGAAGTACAGTAGGTTCATTTCTGGGCTGTCCCTATTAGTGTGTGTGCAGGATGGGAATACCTCTGCTTCACAGAGTTTTAGCATATTTATTCCCTCACATTTGTAAATTTGAGATTCTGTTTCCTGTACAAACAGTAATGCTGCAATCAATTAAACTGGAAAACGTCCACACCCAGAAATGAAGGATAGAAAGTAATTAGAAGAAGTTTCTATGCACAAATGGAGAAATAACCACAAATGTTCTGCTGTTCAGAGCTCACTCTTTTTGGAGGGTGAATTCTGCACTAAGTACTCAGATTTTGGAAAAGCTGACATGCTTCTCAAACCTGGTAAATCCATCATTAATGAGAACATTAAAGATCACAAACCCCAGAAGAGCCCACGAAGATTCTCTTACACTGAGTGACTTTGGGGGCAGATTGTCTTCTCCAGGGCTCAGCTGCTGGTTTGGTCCTTCAGGGCAATCTTCTGAGAGATGGAAAAATCACACCTTTAGTCAGAATTGCCATTGGGAAGTAACTTCTCCCTCCACCAGTTCTTCAAACAGATCAGTTGTGATGTAACTGCACAGACTCCTCAGCAGAACTGAAACCAGGCCCAAAATGCCAGGACTTGGTCCTGTGATCAGTGCAGAGTCACTTCTCATTTTACTTGAGCCCTGAGTCTTGCTCAGATGGTGGAGTTCCCCAGTTTCTGCTTATGCAGGAGCAAAACAAACCTTTACTAAGGAGCACCTCTGCTCAGCATCATTAAAAAAATAATACTCATGTTAGAGGTCACCATGAGAAACGTGTTAATTATTATTTTAACAGTAATTTATCCCTGTTCTCCAAGTTGTGCATATCAAGGTACTTCACATCAGACCATATTTTGGTGAAACTCCTTATGTAGTGACCAGGTGTCAGGATATATATTTTTGAACTGAGTAAGGCAGAATAATAAAAAAATCTTTCTGGATCAGTGTTGTTCAGCTTTTGTGAAAAATCTCCCCTCTCAATGAATGAACAGATCATTTAGATCTTCCAGGAGATCAAACCAGAAAATTTCTTCTACTGTGCCAGTTTTCTCCCTTTCTCAACCTGTTTCAAAAGACATTTTCAAGTTCTAAGAGGAGCCTATGAATTCCTTTCCACACTGCTGAATCATTTCCACTGGGGATGCCACAGAAACAGAACCAGTGACAGCACTCACCACCTGGTTCTGCTTTTGGGAAAACAACCTGCTACATAAAAGGGAAGAGGAGAGGGAAGAATCCCTGGAGAAAGCCACATGGTCCAGCTGAAGTGGAAGGATGTTTGTTCTGTTCTGTGACCAGCTAAAAATAAAACCCAGGAATGTCTTTTCATTTCCCTTTGAAACACTGGACCATTCTCTCCAGAATTCTGCCCAGTGTTCTCCCAGGTAAAGCCTTACTTTTAGTGGGCTGTGCATCTTCATCCAGGTGACTGTGAAGGGTGAGCTGTGGGACAGAAACAGAGGAAGAACTTGAGAACTGCCCTTCAGTCTGCAGGAAGAGATCCAGGAATATAAGAAACTGGACATGCTTAGAACCAGCCTTTCCCTGGTGCACCCTGCTGTCATCAAAGAGCAGACTGAGCCAGGAGTTACAGATTTACTCATGGATTTGTCCTCCATGAATAGGATAATAAGCTCCTTTGGCCTCCAGACAATGTGACAGTGACAATCACTCCCACTCTGATGTTATGAACTAAGTGAAACTCTTTACTACAGATGTCCCCAGGGTTAGACCTATTTTTGCCTGTTCTCACACAAGAGAGACAATTAGAAGCAATTCCAAATCATTCAATGCCCCTGATTTGTTTAAACTCAGCAAATCTTGCTGACTAATGCCATAACTGTGTCCTACACTGAGAATCCTCAGGACACAGGGAGATTCTGTCACTGTTTGGCTGCCTCTGTACTTTTTCATGTCATGAAAGGAGCCTGAGCCATGGATTGGAAACTGCTGATACTTGGGGAACTGAGTGCAAGTGAAGAATATGAAACCATCCCAAAAGAAAGTGAAAGGTAAACAAGGCGCCCTACTCACTTCCTGGGAATCTCTGGAGGAAGTGTCATCCAGGTCAGAGGTCTGAAACAAAACCAGTAGAAATTAATCATTCCTCACAAGCAAGGAAGTGGCAGCAAGGGAACACAGAGGAGACTGAGAGCTCCAAAAAACAGAGAAGTGTGGAATTCCTGCCTCCTACACTCCTGTCTGGTCACTTGGAGAAATCACACAAGATGCCATATTAATTAAAAGCCCCTGTATATCTAATTTAATTCCAGAAATTTTAGCTTCCCATTTCATCCAAATGGCTCACACAGAGTCCCTAAACAGAGTTCACTCTTTGATGGTTGAGGGTCCCCCCTCATCACCTTTGGACATGTTCTAAACACAACCACAGCATCAGCCCACCTTATCCATGCCTGGAACTAAGGTCAGGTCATAGGAACCATCATGTCTTTCACTGTCTAAACTCAGCATTTGGTTTTAATTGATTTTAATGGTTCCCCAGGCAGGTGGTCCCTGGAACTGTCCAGTTTCAAAGGCCTTGGAACAGCCACACTCTGGCCCCACACTCAGCTTCCCAATCCCATCCCAGGGATCGCAGTCCTACCGGGGTGGGCAGCTCCAGTTGCAACCTTTTCAGCTTGGCCTCAGTGGCCAGCAGCTGGCTCTCCTTCTGGAAGAGCTGCAGCTGCATCTCGTCACATCTCTCCCCCAGCTCCCGGATCTGCTTGCGGTGAGCGTCCCTCTCCACCAGGTTCTTGGAGTACTGCATGTGGAACTGCTCCCGGGTCAGGAGAGCCTGGGGAGAGGGACAACACGTGCCATGTCACACAGCAGCACACTCAGGGTTATGTATCTGTCCGCTTCAGGCAGCAGAACAGGGATGAGCAGCATTCCATGAGGAATGTTCTATCACCTGGTCTCTTTCTGCAGCCACTTCCTCCATCTGCTGCAGAACAGCTTCAATCCGTTTCTTATACATCTGGGAGTCCTTCCTCAGGGATGTGCACTGCAGCTCAAGCATCTCTTTTTCCTCTGCATACTGCTGAGACAAGGTCAAAAAGCACCTGAGCTGGACTGGCACCACTCCTGCTCTGTGTCACAGATTGCTCTGGCCAGACCTCCACAGCCTGAGCCACCACCTGCACACAGGATGCTAAAATACAGATACTACAGTAGGATTGCTCCTGAGCAGCTGCTCTGCTCCCCAGGCAAGAGGTGCTTCACCTGCCTGTCTCCCAGCAGGACCCTGAGGAGGAGTTTGCCCTGCAGCACCTACTTTGTCCTGGAGCGCCCTGGCTCGGCGCAGCTCCTTGCGCAGGCTGTAAATGGTGTCCGCCAGCTCCCGCCGTTCCTCCAGAATCTGCCTGCAGTCACTCTCCAGAGTCTCCTTGGAGAGGCTCTTCTCCAAATTCTGTTCCCTGGCAACCTGCTGGACAAAGGAAGAAGTGAGATACAGCCAGCACCTAACTCCATATCAACTCTCCCAGCGCCAGTGCTCTATTTGACTTGGGAGAACAAGGTCACAGCAGACCCACAGAATACACAGCCTCATCACTTCCCTGGCTGCTACAAGTAACCACTTCTCACAAATCCATATTCAACCAGCCCACCAACCTGGAGAGTGTTCTCCAGCTCCTGGTTCTTGGCCAAGAGCAGCTCCTTCTCCTGCTGGATCTCCCACACCACCTCGTGGCTGGGGCGCTGCTCTATGGCGTGTTTGAGCTTCATGGTGTGCTTTCTCTCCAGCTTGCAGTCATCCTCAGCCTTCATGAGGCTGTGCTTCAAGTGGTCAATCTGTGAGAAGGTTCAGAGCTCATCAGGAACACGGGGAAAACTCTGGCCTGCAAAAGCAGCTCTCGCTCCGTTCCCCAGACAAACACAGGGCAAGTTTTTCCCCACTCTGTTTTCCTCGGGAGGTTTGGTGCTCTGGGGACCAGAGTCCTGCCTGTGTGCTACAGATCCATGTTGTTCCTGTGCTGTCTTTGTGAGAGCAGAGGGAAAGGCTCTTAATTCTTCACAGCACAACTTGTAGAACATGAGCCTACAGGGCTGAGCCAGACACCAAGTCATGCCGTTTGCTAGAGAAGATGCTCAGTGCTTCATGCTGGGCAAAGACAAGTCAGGTGCTCAGCCCAGCCTTCTAGGGGTCAGGTAAGAAGGGGGAAGCTGGAGACATGTGACTGACCTCTAGGATCAGGTCCCTGTTCTTCATGAGGGCCGCGCTCTTCTCCTCGCTCTGCTTGGCGTAGCTCATGGCCAGGTTGTAGTTCTCATCCTTGCACTTCTTCAGCTCCCTGCTCAGGCTGTCCCTCTCCTCCTTCATCCTCTGGGCCCGCTCCTGGTGCTTTCGGAGCAGGCTGTCCCTCACCCACATCTCCCTGATGGTGTCCTCCTTGCTGTGCAGCCACACCGTGAGCTCCTGGGCCTTGCGCCGCTCCTCCTGCACCGCGCTCTGCAGCTTCATGATCTCGTTCATCAGCACCTGGCTCAGGCCTGATTCCCCAGCGGTGTCTGTTTGGGAGGCAGGAGTCAGCCCCTGCTGTCCTGGCTGCTCCCAGGCACACACACAGCTCAGCTTCCCCCCACTTCCCACTGCAGCTCGGGATCAGCCCACGCCAACCCTGAACTTGTGGGATCAAGTTATCCCTGCTGCTTCCCCCTGCTCTGTGCCCTCCTGCACCACAGTGCCACTGACAGAACAGGCAGAAAGAATTGATCCTTCTGCTTCCTTCTCCACTCTCCCCCCAGTCCAGCCTGTGACCTCAGGGCTGTTCTTCCCAGAATGCTCCCAAAGCACACAGGGAGCAAGGCAGGGAGTGCTCCCGACTCTGCACAGCAACACCAAAGAGCTGTTTCTGAGGACACAAACAGTACCTATAATCATAGAGAAAACCCTGCTGGGCTCCTTGCCAGTTATTTTCTTATACAGCTGTGGATAATAAAGCTCAAGACTCTCCATAAAGGCCTCAAAGCCCTTGTGTCCTGTTCGCTGAAGAATGTCCAGAAGAACACCTGCAAGAATGGCAACAGGACGTTCTGTTCAGTTATTCATCTCTTCACCTATTTCTAACATCACAAAAAATGGCTCCACATTATCCACATACAGAAGTCCCTGGGATTAAATCACAGAATCAGGTTGAAAAAGAGCTCTGAGATTATTAAGTCCAATTTATGACCAAACACCACCTTGTCAACTAGACCACGGCACTGAGTCTTTCCTTAAACACCTCCAGGGATGGTGACACCACCACCTCCCTGGGCAGCTCTTCCAGTGCCTAATTCCCCAGAAAATCCTAAACCGATTGCCCAGCGACTAAACAAAAGCATTTTAACTGTTCCAATCTGCTCCCAGCAGAGCACAGGAGCATGCAGGGAGCCCAAGGCTGCCCTCAGCCACCCACCTGCCTTCCGTTTGCGCATGACCAGGCTGGGGTCGTTGAGGACCTGCTCCTCATCGTCAGGGCTGAGCACTTTGCACTGCCGCAGGTAGGGGGTTATCCGGGAAGGGTCGATCACGGAGATCAGCTTCACTCGGAAGTTCTCCAGGTTATTCCAGCAGATCTCATCGTTATCTTCCTCCAACATGTCAGCGCTGAGAACTGTCAGTGAGCAGCGTTGTCCTGCCTGGAAAACAACCCCCAGAAAACAAGCAAGCAGACTCAGCCTCCAGGAGTGTGGTGGAAAAGCCGAGGATGTTCACAGAATGAGAATGGAAAAGTGTCCTTTAGACACAGGAGCACATCTCCCATGTGCTGGCAAATCACCTGTGGAACAGTCACATCTCACGCAAAGGGAAGTCCCAGAGGGGGGGCAGCAGCAGCTGAGGGTGGTGCCAGTGCTGCTGCCACAGCTGGGGAGAAATTCTGAGAAAACAGAAGTCACCAAAGCTCGATGAACCTCCTTCCAAGCAGCTGAGCAGCTCCCAGAGCTCACTGCAACAGGAAAGTAAAACTATTTAGCAACAGACTTAGTGGGGACAGGCAAGTCATTGAGAGCCCTGTGAACAAAGGAAAATCCAGCCAACTCTAGATTCCCAACAGCTATGCAAAGAAAGTGCTGTCAAGTCTCACTAACAAAATCACCCTGCGTTCTCCAGGTGCTCAGCTATGCTTAGAATTAAATCTTTAATCCCCATAAACAACACAAAAAGAGTGGGACACAATACAGGATAAGATGATGGCAAAAAGGGAAAACACCTTTAAAACTCTCCTAATAAACTGTTGCCTCTGCTTTACAAACAGTTCACACCTCCTTCTCCATTCCCCAGCATTTGAGATCCCTGAATTCTGTCAGACACTAAGTCTGACACCCAAAAAAGGCTCTGTGAAAACCCCCAGTGGTAACAGCTTTTACTGAGTTCACCTGCCATCATACAAAAGATGTTCTTCTGCATGTTGTGCCTTATCCATACACAGAGCTGTCCATGATTTCCACTGTACACACAGAGGTGAAGATCAGCACCAGGAAGCCCTGAGGTCACCTGCCTCCCACATCCCAGCTCACAGATCCCCCCTCTGCAGCTTCAGCAATTTATGGTCACAAACACCAGATTACAAGAGACACACTTCCCTGTTGCTAAACCCATTATTGCCTCAGAGCTGTAAAATATATTTTTTCCTGTTAACATAAACCATTCTGTATTACATGGACCAACCTGAGCCTGTGCAGTCACAAAAACCTCCTTGTTTCCCCTCCTGTGTCCTGGCTCTGAGAAAACTTGTCTTGGGTGCAGCCTCCCTTTATATTCTGGCCAGAGCAAAGATCATTCCAGGAGCAAAACTAGTTTGAGGAAAGGGGAAACTACTCAGCTGTACTCTAAGATGGGAAATGGAAAGGGAAAAAAAGAGATAAATAGAAAAAGGGGAAGCCAGAATGGGTGTTGGGGAGGAGAAAGATGGTAGTGGTGTCGTGAGTCAGCAGCAATACACACACAGTGATTTTGGACTCATTCTGACTTGGTTTTGCATTTGCCCCACTGAACTACCTGCTGGGGTCCAGAAAGTTTCCTTGTGTAGTGGTCAGAAAGACTAAAAAAAGACTTAAGAAAGAACAAAAGTCACAGGGTCTGTGCAGTTGATTTCAGGGGAGTAAAATCAGCCACAAAATTAGAGGCTCTTCAAAGGCCTTCCTTCCAGCTGTTAACACCTCTGTCCAGGAAAGCAGGTGGCAGCAAGGACTCGCTCTTGGTTTAGAGTTCTGCTGAAAAGGATGATTTCCATAATGATGCCTCTAAATTTGGATGTCCTTAAGCTTCAAGCATAATTATGACAACTCGGTACTTTGAGGGGAAAGGGAGTCAAGCCTCGGCAAAGCAAGGAACATAACCCACGATTCCCAAATTACAGCCTTTGGCTCTAACAGCAATTAAAGGAGCAGCACAGAAAGCAGCATAGAAGCAGTTGAGCATCAACACAAGACCTGTGCCTGCCTCTCCCTCTTCCCACAGTCCTGGAGATGTAGCTGAGACAAGGACTCTGTTCAAGAGTCTGTTAAAAAAGCCTGGAGAACACACAGGCTCCGATGCCATGGCAGCATGACACATGTTCTCATTAGCTTCCCACTCCACTCTTTGTTCTGCTTTCTAAGTTTGTGGAGAGTTTTTCCATGTTATCATTAGGAGTGGGGCAGAGATGCTCAGAGATTCTTGCAGTCTGTGACTCTTGGTAGGCATTAAATCAGCTTTACATTAAAAGAAGGTACAGTACCTGTGTCAGCTGTGCCCTTGCTGAAGGCAATCAGTGGCTGCTAATTGACCAATCTAACCCTGGGAGGTTTTGTTCTATAGTGGCAGATCAGTTTAATCCTGAAAAAGGACAAAGACAGCTGCTTCTTGAACAGTTTTTCCACAAACAGTTTACAAGGGCACCTCCTGAGCAGCATTTCCAGAGGACAAGAGTCATTTAGAGCACAGATCACCATAACAGCCTGTGAACAGCACCCAGAACTGCTTCTGACCCAGACGAATTTATTGGAAAAATGTTATCTACACTGGCTTATGGAAAACAGAGCACACTGCAAGAGAAAAGCCATTCCACAATCATTCCAATTGCTCAAGAATGTCTTGACACCAAATGACAGCAGCATTGGCACCCACTGTCCCCCTGACCCCAGCTCTGCCTGAAGAGCCCTTATAGAACAGTTGGAACTCACAGAACTCATCACCACACTCGGGGGAAGCTCAGTCAGTGCAGTGCAACGAAGCTTTCTGCAGCATTTTCCATCTAGATTTTATCAGCTTTGCCTCAGCTAACCTTGCACCTCTCTGGGAGACAGAAATTGCTGGTTTATAAATGAAGAAACAAGTTGTTGTTGAGTGATTTGCTGATGTCTCTACAGGGCAGGCTGTGGAAGAATCAAGAAAGAATCCAAGCTGAATTCAATCCTTTTTAGCCACATGAATATTCATTTTCCACATTCTCCCTGGTTTTCATGCAGCTTGCAAACTTCATTTTTCTCATTAGCAATCACACTCATACACACGTTATTAAAAGCACTATTTACCAGGGAAAAAACCACACAGAATACAGCAGTAATTTTTAAGTGAGAAAAATAAAACATCTGTATTTCAACAAATACTTAAGACCCATTTTGATACAAAATTAATCTGCTGCTTATTCAGCAGCATTCAGTCAGTTAGCAAGCAAAGCCACTGTCACAGCACTAAAACCCACCCAATTAACAACATATTCTGAACATGGATAAACATTTACATAAATAGGGGCTGAACAAAAAAGAAATAAATAACCACCATTGCTGGTTCCCCCAGATTTCCAGCACCTTCTCCCCCAGCATCTATGGCAGGTGTGAGTTTGAAAGAGCAGAACTGGTCCATGCCTGAATGATTTCCCTCCAGCCATTTTCTTCCATTTCTGCACCTTTCCTACAGATGCAGATTTTGTTAGGTGATGGAAAAACCAGTCCAGCCATTTTCCTCTTCCCCAGGTCCATCCAGTTGGTGTGTTGGAAGTAGTAAAAGTGAACAGTGCAAAGAGTACCTCCTACTGCCATGCAGGGAGGCAGAGCTCATTCCAGTGACCTCTGTAACAAAGCACAAACAGCTCCTATCAGTCACAGCATTTTTATAGGGAAGTTGCTCTTTTGGAGTTTCTAAAACAAATTTTAAAGAAAAAAACTCGAGCAGTGTCATCTGACAACCATGAGAATCAAACACTGCTCATATTCATTCCATCTCTTGCACCAAAAGCCTCAACAGATACTAGGGACATCACACACTTGTACCCTACAGAAGCTGGCCTGTTATAAGTGTAGAGAAATGAAGCCATAAAGGGGAAATAAACCCCTCAAAACCCCACAGGGTTGTTCAAAGAAGAGTTAAACTCCAGTGAAGCACCCACTGGCAGCCAAGCCTGTAGAGAGCTACCAGCTAGGTACCACACTAGTAGGCAGGGCATGGACTAAGAGGCTGCCAAATGTCTGAACTTCGTGACTGTTGTATCTATAATTTTATCATACAGACATGAACTTTCACTCCCCACAACAGATTATCAGCCTCAGGGTGTGATTAGTGGTGACTGTAGAGCTCTGTGTCCTCGGGGAACAAGAGCAGAGATAATTTCAGCCCTTTCCTGGGGTTGTGATTCATTGTCTGAGCTGAACCACAGACAAATGTGGTTCAGGTTCTCAGGCACAAAATACAAGTCTCTGAGTAGCTACTAACACATGTCCTTCTCACATCCTCCTCCTCTTCCTGCAGCGGGCACTTCTCCTGACTGGAGCAGCACTGGCATCAGCCACAGCAGTGCAGGAATCCAAGGCAGAGTGGGCAGTGCCCTCTTCAGCCCCCAGGCCCTGCAACATAAGCGGGAGATGATCAGAATCATGAGAGTGAGCAAAACTGCAAATAACCTCTTCAGCCATCTTTTTATTTTATGGAGCTCAGCAAGATTTCCAAAATAATCTTCCATTTACCTTCGAAAATAAGCATGGGACAACATTCTGTTACCAGTGTCAGACAAAGCACAAAATATCCTTGAGTTTTCAGAGCAAAACCTTCAGCCAACACTGACATTTCCTCCTGTTCCTGCTCCCAAAGCAGAGCAATTCCTGCTGTTGTTTCTGTCTGGGCACAACTGTCCATTACAGAGGTTGTGGCACAACCTTTTGTTAGAGGTTGGGTGCCTGCCATGAGTGATGCTTTGGCTCTCACTGCTGGAGCCAGACAGTGCCCCAGACAGCACAGGTCACACCAGCTTCTGACTGCTCGTAAAACACAACCCCTACCACAAACCTTCCCCTGGAAACCACCAGGAAAACAACCTGGCTGTAGTGGGAATCACGGGAGTGGGAGTGAGCCTGGAAGGTGACACAGAAGAGAGGTTGGCAGTGAAAACCTGCTGGTGACTTTTGGAGCAACTGCTCACAGTTCAGACAACACTGAACTTGGCCCAGACCCAAAAGTCAGAGCCAGAACAGAAAGAAATCTGCTGGGGAAGCTCTGATTTTTAGGCAGCTTGGCCATCTTTCTATAGAAACAGCCATTTGCCTTGTTGATTCATCTTCATCAGTGTTTTGTTTGTTTACTTTGGAGCCACAATGATTTGAAATGCAAGTCTGAGCTGCACAACTTCCTCGTGTGTTTTGTAAGAAAGAGTGCTGGGCAGTAATGGATTTAACTTAAAAATTAGAGATTGACTTGGGGTGGACCTTGTGGCCACATAAACCAATTTGGGATGAAGATGCAAATAGAACATATACAATTCCCCTGATATTACTGGGATTTTGAGCACACATACAATGAAAAACAAGGGCCTGATTTCAAAAATACAAGTCAGTGCAGCAGGTTATAAGCTGTAAAAGGAAGGGAGCTTTGATATCCACTTCTGGGAATTGTCAAGTTTAATGTGCCCCATAAAGCACAGACTTTTACCCTTGGACTAAAGGCTCCCAGTTGAGCTGCAGAGCTTTTCCTTTTATCAGCTGTAAAACCATGTTTATTCAAAAGGACCAAATTTCTGCTACATTTAAAAACAGTGAAGGATTCTCCCTGGGTTCCAGTGCAAT